CATCAGCAAAAATATTCAAGGTGTTCTGTAAGTGTTTCAAACACAACGCCTGTGTCCATCTGTGGTACACGTGGGGCCTTGGCATCCGGCTCTCGGGTTCCAGGGGGTGAGACTTGCCCTCTGAAGTTGGCAATCCAGAACAAAAGCCCAATGCGTGGAGGGTCCAGCACAAGGTGGGCTCTTTCTAAGTGCCTGGAATCTGAGAATTACGATGGACTCCCTCAGTAAATCACCTTTGTTGCTTTGAAGCCACCACTTTCTGCTAAATGAAAACCATGGGCCAGGAGCCTGGAAGTCACCTGGAAAATTTCTGGTGACAACGAGTCAGATTTGAAGTTGTTGCTGGCGAGGCACTGATGTGAGCGGAACCGGATACTCGAGTCACTTTCCGATCCACAACGCCTGAGGTCTGTCAGCCGGGAGATACTCGGCAAGCACTTAATGTGTTCGGTCCCACGGTGGGAGCACTCAGCTATTTTAGCCCCATCAATTACAGCTCTTCAAACATGCACACAACTTCTAAGCCTTTCAGGTTCATACAGCAAGCAAATTCCATTATCTATCATACCTCACTATACAAAACATTTGGGTATGTACAGGTTGAATCACGTTCCCCTTGTGTGCAGTGACACGGGGGTCACTCTTAATCTGCGACACAGAACGCCTGGGGACAGTTCTACTCACTCACTCAGATGCTGACAGAGAGCCCAATGGGGACAAGCCGTGCCTCAGATGCTGGGATCCTTGCTCCTCACATCCCCTAGTCTTATATTTGGACACACGTGCTTTGAATAAAACATTATATTTAGGGTCTCTTTAGCAAATAAAAGTCACGCCCATCAACTTGACTTTAAGACTTCCTCCTTGTGATAAGGATCTTTGATATGACTGTTCTTCTAAACTAGACTTTTGCCTCTCTAGCTGTAAAATTCTACTGCCAAGACCTTGTGTCTAGTCCAGAAATGGCTCAAATAGGGACACTGGGAACAGGCAACGTGGTCCAAGTGTCACAAAACAAGAGGAAAAACGAGGAAACGTGTGAGATGCTGCTGGAGCTGTGTTCAGACTCTTGACGCCACACTCCTTGATGAGGGGGACAGGACGCGCAGAGGTCATGGCGGCGCGAGACCCTCAGCCACCCAGCAGGAACATGAACGGCAAATGGCAGATTGTATTTCCTTTGGAAACCTCCACAGGCAGAAATTCTACCTTCACAGAGGATAAGCCAAAAGCAGAGCAGTCAGTGCAGGCTCCGTAACACACATTCTCACAAGACGGGCAGCGCAGTTTCTCAGAACTGCTGCGTCCTGACTTCAAGGAGAAACCGTCTTCCTACAGAATCTAACCTGCAATTAGCTACGAAAAGGCGCGGAAGGCGTTAACCTAGATATTAACAGAGGAGTCAATTGACATCACCTTGTAAACATACAGTTTCATTTTTGCACCAAAGAAACTGGTGAATCTGATGGAAAACTACAGGGAAACAGAGCAGCCTCTCGGATACCACTGGACGAACACAGTGGTGGAGAGCAGGACAATGTACGTCAGACACCTGCAAACACAGTATTCGCTCTTTCCACGCAGGTGCCTCGGAACGACAATTCTAACACCATCATGTTTCTTAGATTTCCTACAGGACCTCAGAGCCTGTGAAAACGACTTTTGAACGTGAAGTCTACCTCCACGGAATGCCGTTGTACGTGCTCTGCAAAGTACTTATAAAGACTAGTCCTGGCCCTCAAGAAGCTTGCAGACCTGAGCAGGCCACAGACGTGTGCACAGACCATTTCATTAGGCCATCAGCCCTTCCCAGTCTCAGTTTATTGTTTCCTCCACCCGACAGTTAACATTTCTGAGAGCAGAAACCATGTCAATGATCTCCGCATCACTCCCACAACGCCCCAGCAGAACAATGTGCACGGGACGAGCATTTAACAAATCTGGTTTAGGGAGGAAACGTAGTATTACCTTAACAGTCACACCGTGCTCAGCAAAATCCATCACAGGCAGGTTCACCGTGAAGCTCCTCCAAGGGCCCTGAGTCTCTGCAGCAGCAAACAATCCCTCCCGAGCCGGTCCTGAGGGCAGCGTCACACTGCGGCTGGCACTCCCAGGTATAAGAGCAACAGTGTAAGCCCAGCTGACCCCCGGTTCCTACCTGAACGTCAGACGTCAGTAACAGCGAGGATGTAGAACGTTTACTCTCCCAGTAATCAAGAGGAATGCAATCTCTCCTTCAGGAACTGATCTAATCTACCAGCTAACCAAAGGACTGTCTCACCCCACCAGGTAACTCTGAAGCCACCACTGGGAGTCAGGTGGTAACCGACACTGAGCTCATCGTGATGGTTACCCAATGGCAGAACCCCTAGAAAGACAGTGCTCGGCCCGAGCCCGGGTCACCTGTACAGAAGCATCTGGACAGCAGCTTCTTTACTGCTGGTAACGAGAGAACAGATACTCAGCATGAGGACCAGGTTCGGACATGGTTGGCTGATTAGGCCACAGAGTGGACAGAAAAGAGAGAGTTTCTGACTGCTTAATAGTCACACATAAAAGAGAACCTGCATGCCATCTTGTTTTGATGCTTTAGAAATAATAATTCAGAAAACAGGAGTCTATTAAAAGATGCAAATGACTGTGTATACCATATACTAGTGACTGGCAAGAATAATATCCAGAACAGGCAATAGCATTCAAGTGGAAAAGAAAAAACGCAATTGTCCATAGATGCAGATCACCATGCTCCCTTGCAGGTAAGGGGCCGTGAGCTCCATGACGCCCTTCCTAATACCCACATCCATTTCAGGACCAGACCTGGTGCCAGGAAGCAAGAAGGATGGACAAAGCAGAGAGGAGCAAATTCGTAGCTCTACAGATTTGTCCAATAAGGTAGCCACTAGCCACATGTGGCTATTTAAATTAACCAAAATTTAAAAATCAGTTTCTCAGTTGTAGTAGGCGTATTTTAAGTATTCCCAGCCACATGCAGCTAGTAGCTATTGTACTGGACAGGCACACACAGAATATCCCCATCACTGTTCTAGAGAACAGAGTTAGACTGGAAAGTGAACATTCCTATTGCTCAGATAGACCTGATAAGAAATTCAGAATCAAAGCCAATAGTCTTACTCATCAAGAATCATGAGAGGTACCCGAGGCTGTTTATCTTCTTTTATTGACCGTGTCCATAGATCAGAGACATGTGGGGAAAGTCTGGACATCCTTGTCAGCACAGGATTTCCCCCCGAGTCTTTTTCTTCTTCTTTTTCTCTCTTGGGGTGAGGGAGGCAGAAAAGAAAAATGGCAGGGGGATCAGAAATTCTTTGATTTAAGTCTCTGTTATGCAAGAGTTGCATAAATTGCCAAAAACAAATAGATTTTTAGAAGCATCTACTTCTCCCACCTCTCTTTCTTTCAAATAAAATACTAAAGGCAACAGAAAAAAAACAGGAGAAAGGAAGAGGAATCGAAGAAAATTACCAAGAATGAAACGGATGGCTGTCCTAAACTACTGTTCTAGGACAGCCAGGAAAAAAGTGCCACAAGTCAAGAACAATGTTTCCAAAAACACAGTGGCCACAATTCAACAAGTCCACATTAATTTTCACAGGAACCAATTCGCAGGAGGCCACATGATTTGCTACTAACAGTGGAAAGTACTGAGTTTTCAGCAAGAGCACACTCTGGATCCACCCTCTAATTCACGGGCACACAAAGGGCTCACCCGGGTCATCTTCCATTCACGGCATCATTCGGCTTCTGAGGTTATTCGGTCCTCAGAAGCTACATCCAATAGTAAATAAAAATCAACTACAACCACAAGATTCTACTTACTAGAACTTCCCTGTATACGATCCTTTAAAAATGAAGTAAAAACATACTTTTGGATTTAAACTAGACAGTTTCAATGATATTTAATATAAGCAAACTAAGATTGACTTGAGAACAAGGAAAAAGAAAACCAGTATCTTCAGATGCTGGATTCTATTTAAGCACTCATTCTGCTTGCCACTTTGCCCTGCTACTGCTGTGCCACACTCGGGAAAATCTGATACCTCAGTGACCGAACAACTTGAACGCAAGCTAAAATTTAATCAGCACATCAGAAACAACAAAACCAAGAAGATATCAGCTTAAGAGAAGAACAGCTTATATACTTTTGGGAAGGGGCTGCAAGAATTAGGGTCCTGTAAAACCTAAAATGCAAGCCTCAGCGTCCTTCTTCAGAGACACCTGGCGTGGCCGCCTGACTGAGCCTCACAGCCCTGCGAGGGTGGCTGTGGGACGGATGGCTAGGCGATGCAGCCCACGGTGCAGGAGGCTGCGAGCTACCGCGGCGTTTCATCACGGCAAAGGACAGCTCAAGAAGCCCTCCCTTTCTGAGCCCCTCACGCTTCAACCCCTATACGGGCGTTCAGGAGCAGAGTTCCCATCAGAAGCTGGAAAGCCTGGGTCCCTCCCTGCTCCTTCACTGGGCCCATTCCGTGGCCCTCAGTGTCTGTTTTCCTCCTCTTCTGCCCTCAGCATTTCAGAATAGAAACGGAAGTCACATCCTGACCCTCTGCCCAGGGGAAGGCTGCCCTCTTAGCTTATCTAACTCTTCCCTCTCAAGGAGAAACGCCTCCTTAAACAGAAATCACCTGATACACCTGAGGAAGGTGCGAGATGTTTGTTTAAGCCCCGATAACTCACATTTCCTCCTCCTGATGAGGATATAGTCACCAGTAACTGTCAAGTGAGCTTGTGAAAATTAAAGCTCTCCAGGGCAAGAGAGCAACTTGGGTCAAAAAGGCAGCTGATCTGAAGCCTCCCTAATCTGCCAAATCTGGTCCCCATGTCATGCACACACGGTTCCACGGAGCGTGTGAACACCCCCAGCACACTGGAGAGGTGCATCCACACAGCATGCACCACCAGCACAGTTTGTAAGACGTGCTACGGGCATGTGGGAAATGGGCTGGCTCCAGATCCGACCAAAGGGTAGAGCGAGCGCGTACCTTTCAGCCTTCTGGAATTCCCATTCTTTTGCTGTTCATCTTCCTCATTAATGGTGAACAAACCAAGCGGAACTGCCCTTGCGTTGGTCTTCTTCAGCCTCTCTTGTCGGAGAGCAGTAGCTGGTCCAGGCATACCGCCGTACTTGCTTTTTAATTATTCTTATGTTAAAACTCTGTGCTTATGTAATTGCAGCTCCCAGGAAGCTGCTAGTCCCTAAGCTGCCGGTTCATCTGAGCACTCGTAATGGATCCCCCACGGGGAAACAGTGTGCAAACAGCCGACAGATGCCACCAGCCACTTGGCAACTGAGGCCCTGCAGTTCCCCTCACCTACAGCGGCCCCCACCAGCCCCCTCACGCTGACGTCCTGCAGGCACGCGCACTGGCTTGAGCACACGCACACACATGCATGCACACGCGTACACACACACACACGCTCACTCTCCTTCCAGAAAAGCTCTCTTAAAGGCAGGCAGGGTCGGACGCCTCCCTCCACTGCCTACCCTGCTCAGTCAGACGCAGCGTCCCCCTCCTGCTGTGGCACCTTTCCCAGCCTTCTTCTTGCTCCTGCACAGTAAAGCGGTCCGCACCCGGCACAGGGAGGAGAACACGACAGGCTGCCGTTCACAGTTGCCCTGACAACCCTGACATATCCTAAGCAAGGAGGGCCGGGAGCGGCTCCATCTCTGGCGGGCGGAGCAGCGCAGGCAGGCTGCGGGATGCTGGTCCCGGGAACTCACCAGCAGAGGGTTCCAGCCTGAGGGTGGGCAGCTCCCTCTTCCTCTGGGCGGCAGGAGTGGCTGGATGGGAGGAGAGAGGCAGCTGCGCTTGCACAGGCAGCAGCGTGGAGAAAGGGACTCAGAGGAAGAAGCAGGCTTCTTGGGGCCAGGTTTTCTAGCGTAACGACGTTCGCGAGTCCCTGGATGAAGGCAGGCATGGTGGCAGGCCATGGCCCCCTTGGCGCTCAGTATCACATCCCAGCCTTCCAGACATTCTCACAATCCCAGGGTCTGTGTAAACACAGGTTTGGCCACACGCATCACGAGGACCAGCCTGGCCATATCCCTGAGACCCCCAGTGGAGACAGGCAGGGGGAGAAACGTGCCTGTTCCCACAGGGACAACAATTTGGAACGCCCCTTCTGCAAGTCAAGCGGAAAGGACACAAACGAGACACCATAATCCTCCAAAGGGAAAAGACGGCCCCGATTACATCCAGCAGACTCCCCCGTCCCGCGCAAGTCTCTGCCCGCAGGCTGAGCGATTCCCAACGCCTGACCCAATTTCAGTTCTTTTTTGGACTGTTTGCTCCAGAGCATACAATCATGTGATTACTGTTTTCTCCTGAAATAAGCTTTCTCACTTTAAGACTTTCTGTTTCCAGGCTGCCTAAAATTTACGCTGTGTGAAAAAACTAAATTTATAAAAAATATCAACTGTCACATTAAGAAAATAATTCGATGTTTTCGCCTTGTAATTAAAATCAAGTCTGCTTAGAAAGTCCAAAGCAACCCTCCCCCCAGACCACTGCCCTGCCCCTTCTCAACACTGGAACCTCCAGGAGGGACCCCAGGGACCAGGAGGCAAGTCAGCGTCCCCTCGAAACCCGTCCATGGAATAGTGACCGCAGACGCGTCGCCCAACTACTCGTGCTACCTCAGTGATTGCGGTAAAACCGGGGGCACAACGCCACGTCCCCCAGAGGACTGAGGTAGAGCCGGGGGCGCGACGCCACGTCCCCCAGAGGACTGGGGTAGAGCCGGGGGCGCGACGCCACGTCCCCCAGAGGACTGGGGTAGAGCCGGGGGCGCGACGCCACGTCCCCCAGAGGACTGGGGTAGAGCCGGGGGCCCGACGCCACGTCCCTCAGAGGACTGGGGCGAGGATGAAACGAGTGCAGTCCTGGCAGTGAGAAGTTCTTAATGAACACCGGATGCCTTTATTATTTTATAACACACTGGTTGTAACCAGTCCATTTTTGCTTCTTATTTTCAAGGTGGTTACAGTTCGACTATCAGCTCCATCAAAGGGTACTTCTATTTTTTATCTACTCACGCAGCCCAGCCCAGTGCTGGTCATGTACTAAATGGTTAGCAAATCCAAGCTGAAAAAACAAATCAATCTTCAGAAAGCTCTCCCTCAAAAGCAGCAGGATTTAATTAAGTTAACACTTGTTCAGATCTGTGACTTGGAGAGATGCAGGAAATTCTGGACATGAAATTGACTTAAAATCGTGTTAATCTGTGTAAGAGGCATTTGGAATAAGAGAGAATGGAGTTTAAGAGCTCAACGGGTCTGAGAAGGCACCTGAACCAGCATCGTCACACACGAGGAAGCAGAGGCCATCACTGGATTCCTCGCCCAGGTCAAACGCCAGTTGGAGGCAGGTCTGCAATGAAAATGTGCTTCTCCATGACACACACCTGGCCTGCTCGGTTTAGGATCCTAGCCCCTCTCTCCAACCCCCAGAGAGATGGTGCCATGCGGAACGGAAGGAAGGGGAGGACCTGGGTCCTGAATATTCAAGACCTTGTTACTCAAGAAACAAACAGCAGATACAAACTGGCTAACGTACTTCCATAATTTTCTGTAACTGGTACACAGTTTTTACTGAATTATAGATGACTTGTTATTGCCTATTTATTTTTCTTTAATCAATGATTAAATGATCAATAAATTTAGGCCAGTACCATACACGTGTATTTGTGAAATGAAAATATTTTCAAATGCACTTTAGTTTCTTTCTTCCACTTCCAGAGCATCAGGTGAGTACTTACAACAGCAAAGCATACACACGACAAGTATAGCTGAAACTACGTTCTGGCAGAGAAAATGAACATTTACGTCTCAAGCAAGTGACAAGTTTCATTTAGAAATGTGCCTCACTCAAATAAAGACAACAGCGTCTGATTGTCTCTGCTGAATTTAATAAAGCAATTACTGAAAGGGGTAAAGCTAAAGAAAAGGGATCTTTCCCTCCACCCTCCAAATAAAAAGTGAGATGACAATGTTTTATGCGGTGTACTAGGAGGACAATGAAACATCTTCCTAAGAGTGGCTTTAAAAACGAAAAGTGAGGGCTGAATTCAAACGGCTTCTGCAGAAGTTGGACACCCCACTGCTGTCAAGCACAGCTCAAACATTTCGTGGGAGAAACAGCAGCAAAGCGACCGAATGAACCTGTCCAGAGGAGTTTACGAATCTCAGGGAGGCACCCTCCTGAGGCCTTCGGCCACCCTCTGAGGCCTGCGCTCGCCCTCCAGGGCCCCGGCAGAAGGGAGGCACAGTGGTTCCCCCTTATCCGTGGTTTTGCTTTCCATGGTTTCAGTTTCCTGTGGTCAGGTATAGTCCAAAAATATTACATGGAAAATTCTGGAAATAATTCATAAGCTTTAAATTGCACTGTTCTGAGTAGCCTATGAAATCTTGTGCTGTCTGCTCCATCCCACCCAGGACGTGAACCATCCCTGTGTCCAGGGTCTCCACGCTGTACACACCACCCACCTGTCAGTCACTTAGCAGCCGTCTCTCGGTTATCAGATTGACTGTCGCTTATCACACTGCTTGTGTTCAAGCAACCCTTATTTTCCTTAATAATGGCCCGAAAGCGCAACTGGCACTTCAGCTATGCCAAAGAGAAGCCAGGAAGTGCTCCCTTTAAGTGAAAAGGTGAAAGTTCCCAACTTAATACGCAAAGAAAAAAAGTCCTATGCTGAGGCTGCTAAGATCCACAGTCACTTTTACTACAGTGACCGTCACATTGTTTTATTTTATCATCAGTTATTGTTGTCACTCTCTTACTGTGCCTAGTTTATAAATTATACTTTATCACAGGTCTGTATGTACAGGAAAAACACAGTATATACAGGGCTTGGTACTATCTGTGGTTTCAGGCCTCGCCTGGGGTCATGGATAAGGGGAGAGAGATCACAGACAGCCCCTCCAGAGCAGAGGCCTGAAACTGAGCCCACCTCCACCACGCCCAGCAGACCAAAGGCTTCTCCTGTGTTAACTTCAGTGCAACATCCCTCACCTGACCAAGACGGGATCCTTCACGCTCTAGCCTGAGGGCTCTGACGGAGAACTGTGATTTGTATCAAAATGTGGAAAGCACCAAAAAGTCTTTTTTTTTTTTTTTAAAGAATTCAAGTTATGCTAAAAACCATTTACTAGGGGAAATGAAAGCCTAACCAGAGGGCAAAAGCCTCCCTTGTCACACAGCCATGAGCAGTGTGGGGTCAGGTTAAGGTCTGTTAGCTAGAGCAGCCCGGAGAGAGGCGTTATCACCTGACAGATCGGGAAACTGAGGCTCGGAAAGGTTAGTCATCCAGCTGGTTAGGTCACTGAGTCAGGATTAAACCCAGGGCCATCTGCTCTGGAGCCAAGATGCTTTTGTCCTGCTGCCATGCAAATCCTGACTCCAGCATGGTGAGCGCGCCCCTGTCACAGCTGCCGTGCAAATCCTGACTCCAGCATGGTGAGTGCGCCCCTGTCACAGCTGCCGTGCAAATCCTGACTCCAGCATGGTGAGCGCACCCCTGTCACAGCTGCCGTGCAAATCCTGACTCCAGCATGGTGAGCGCACCCCTGTCACAGCTGCCGTGCAAATCCTGACTCCAGCACGGCGAGCGCGCCCCCATCACAGCTGCGACCACTCATGGGAAGGCAAACAGCCGAGACCACACCATTACAATGAAGGACTCTTTTCCCCCATGAAGTACACATCTCTCATCTCATTTAAGACCTATAAATACATTTGAATTGGTTTCCTAAATGCTCAAATCCAATCTTTAATGGATATAGGGGTTAATTCTATTATTTAATTCCAGGAATACCGTGGCTTGAACGCTGTGGGGGGCCTGGGGCCACAGCCTTCTCCCTTTTACACTCTGACCCAAAAGGAAAGCAAATATGGAAAGGGGATGGCGAGACCTTAAATGTACATATCCCCCAAAGTAACCAGAATCCCCCTGAACACCTGCACTGTTCCCCGGCACCAGTAAGGGTTGTCAATTCCACGTGACACAGCTGTCCTCTCGTGTCACCTGCAGACGCAGACTCTTAATCCAGTCCCCCCGGAAGTGGGGTATGCAGACTTCTAAGAGTCAGTTAGGTTTTGCAACTGTTTTGTTTAAACTGTTAAAATAGTAAATGATGTGTTAATGGTCAGTAACGTGTTAATGGAGACTGTGTACAAACGTGAGAGAGTGACACTGCCTAGTGCCCAAGGGTAGCCTGTACAACCAGACTGCCTTCACACAGAGGACAAACGTTTGCAGCATTATCCTAAGATGTAGTCGCGATCACAGGTGACAATGGTGACACTCATCCACTAGGGACAAGACTGGCCAACAGGCCCTGGAGCAGCTGCTGTCCCCCCTCTGAGTACACAGCAAACGTACGTCTGTTTGCCCTTCTCTCCTGCTGCCTGGCCATTCCGGCCCAGCGCCAAGCTGTGAGGCGGGTGAACAGGACAGTCAACCTTGCTGGTCTCAGGGATGCCAGCACCTGACTTGCGCGTAGCCATCACAAGTTATATAACAGGCGGCACGCGTGGAGGTGCACACACACATACACACCCCCTCCAGGCTTCTGTTCACACTTACGCTTCCTATGCTTTTATTCTGTGACCATAAAACTGGAAAACAGTGCACCCAGGGGTGAACCAAGAATGTCCTCTTGCAAAGAGAAATGCGTTTACCCAGTAGGAAGACTCCACAGGTTCTCCA